TCTTGAAAAAAAGAAAAGAAAAAAGACAGTGAATAAGAAAAGCACGGATCGATGGGCTGTCTTGTCCTCAAGGAATTCTTGGACCCGCAATTGTAATCAGATATAAATAATCATTTTCTTACACCAACTTAGCTTGTTGCAAGTAGCCTAGTACTGTACGTACATCACGATATATCGAGAGGATGAGCTCACACTTAAGACCACATAAAATCAATCATGCTACTCGCTTATTATACAGTGCATAACTTTTAGCTAGAGCCAGGGGTCAGCACCACGCTTATGTGGAGTAAACTAGGTTCAATTTGTTGTCAATAAATGCCAGATTCCTCAGGTCGCGGGCGGATGAAGCTGTGGGTTGTGCAAGTGCATACTATGGGGTTATGCATGGTGGTCAGGCCGTGAAGACTGGTCAGTTGTGTGAAGTTAGAGCAGCGAAGTTTGCTTTGTACAGTACATAACTGGTATAACAGGTGAAATGCGCAGTTCAGCTTAAGTAACGCTGATCCACACGCCAAGCTTTTGCCCGGGACTGGATTGTTTCCGTCTCCCGCTCTTTCGGCCTCCGAAGAAAAGTTACTGCACTGTCCGTACAGTACAGACAGTACAGTCCCCTCGATCATCCGTATTTCCGGAAGCACTTGCAGTTTTTTTGCATTCGAGTTGCGATTACAAATACCAATATTCTTACCACAGTGACAGGTCTCTTCACATATTTGTACAGTATCGTATTGTAAGGTAATAGATGATTTCTTTGCTGCGACGAGCCTGTACATACTTGTATCAAAATCGCTATGAACATGAGAATAGAATAATCTCAAATCACTCTACCTAGTATTCACTGAGTGTATACATGATGCTCGACCCAGCACCATGGCATGGCGCATGCAAGAAAAAGTCGAAGAAGCAGACCTCTCTGCCATCAACCGTCAAACATCCTCTCACCTCCCGGCTAGCTAATCATTGCTTCTAGCGAGATTCCAGAATATCTTGGCGCCTCGATTGAGCGATTTTTTCTCCCTGTCCCATGATCCATCTCATCCTATCGACAAATGTGCACCCCCCACTGGAAAAGAAAGAGCGAGACTGCGAGAGCTCCGAGGAGCCGAGAGAACCTCTCAGGGTTTCAGAAATGTCAAACAAACTTTTTCTCCCACAACTTTCTTCGCGTGTTGAGTATTATTTGACGGGAGTAGGCTAACTCACAATGGTACGACTGTAGATCCTGTAGGCGTGCCATTGAAGCTAGTAATGTTCTTCATCCAAATGACGAAAGGTGGAAACTAGGGCCTCTCTTGAGGCCTTTTCGCCTGGTCTTTCCTTCTTCCATTGTTGCTCAGGTCTGGTGGAGTCGGGTTCCCACTACAGAGATCCATTTTTCTAGACCCACGCTGCTTCGGATACATATCACGGTGATAAAGGGTAAATCGGCACACACAAGCACCAAAAGCCAGGGATGTCGGCCAACGCAGCTTGGACAAGAAATTTTTTTTATTTCCATGGTAAGAAAGTGAGCGGAAACTGTTCCGCACTTGAGGACAAATTACTCGTTACGTGTACAGACAGGCACTGATCGGAGTGTGAGATGCCGAGATCCAAGGCCCAAGTTCAAATGTAACCCCCAGTCAGAGGTCAATAGCGACAATCAATCAACCGATCAGTGGTCTGGCTGACCATCGAACCTAAACCCCATTCGTTCAATCGCCATTGCCACGGCAGTTCAGCGCGGGTCTCTCCATGCCTTATAGGTGATCTTGCTGCCGTACTGAGCTCCCTTCTTCAGGACCACTGTGTGCCGCCAGGCTGGTTCGTTGATCGCGTTGACAAAGCGACTAGGCTCGATGCAAAACCCGGCAAATGGCCCGCGGCTCGGGTTCCCTTCCATGGCCGGCACGTCGATGCCTTGTCCCGTGTAGAATTGGAAGGCAGGCTCCGTGCTATACACCTGCAGGTTAAGACGCGAGTCCGGGTGGCGGAATTCGGCCTGCAGCTGGAGGGGCTGTCCGCGTGTATCGAGTGGCACCCGGGCGATCTCGCGCTCCATAACGAAGATATCGTCAAATTGGTTCTCGGGCCCGAAGGTGAACTCTTTCGTCACCTGGCTGGGATACGGTTCGATCGGGCCGCGAGGGATCCCACCCTCAAGAGGCAGGTAATCTTGTGTAGACAGTCTGGCGACAGTCCCTTCGGTGGTTGCGCCGCTCCCTAGGTTAAAATAGCTATGCTCCCGCACAAGTTGGTCAGATCAAGTGGACTCAATGGACAGCACATTGTGCCTGCATACCTGTGGTTGGTCAGGTTGATGACGGTCTCCTCGCACTCATCGCCCACCAACTCGGCCTCATATTCGATATCCAGCACGGATCGGGTGATATTACCCTCCTTCTCCTCGCTGACCGTGTAGAAGACCTTCAGGTCCACCGTACCCGGGTACCCCGCCTCGTTGTGAAGACTCCGATAGGTATAAAGCAGGGTTTCCTTGCCATGCCGCTGCAGGACGGTTGGGCCCTCGAAGTTGCGTCGGCCCCAGCCTTGACTACCGCCATGCAGGGCATTGGGGGCATCGTTCTGCTCCAGCTGATATTCACGACCATTGAGATTGCGGATGATTCCGTCCTTGATCCGATTGGCCACCCGGCCAATGTTGGCACCGAACCAGGGACTGTTGTGTTCCTCGTATAGCTTCTGGGTTGTGAATCCCTGGACTATGTTTTGACCGCCCACGTTGAATTCCTGGATGATGGCGCCCAGAGAGGTGAACTTGACTGAGGTATTGTCACCCATTTTGTTATTATTCTCCAGTGATCAGGTAGACTTTCGGAAGTAATTGTTGCTAGTCAGGGCGAAGGTCAACTTGATAGAAAAAAAGATTGGGACACGTATAAGCTTATCAGGGTCCACGAGATGGAAGCAAGTCAGTTGAAAGGGGGGTTTCGGAAATTCACCCACAATTGTTTACCCCGCAATTGCCTGTTTTCCCCGACGCTCGACTTGGCGGTCACGTAGTACGTAGTAAGTACTCCGTACGGCGAGTGAGACCCTGTGGCTCAAAATTGCTCAATGGAGAGTGAGGACTCGCTGGGCCTGGGAGAACATCAGCCTCTCCTTATAATCATCTCAGATCGGATAAATAGCTCCACGAATGACGAAAGTCATTTTGCAGAGAGCTAGTATTCGATAAGTGAGAAGACTTAAGAGAGCTTAAGAGAGGGGAAATGGACAGACACTGAGCTCAGACATTTAGGCTAAACCACCTTGATTGGGTAATCTTCCGGGGAAATGAGTGCCCCAGGCAGAAACATCAACAATCGAGTCAACAAACCAACAAACCGACCAGCAAACAAATAACCAACTATGAGTAAGTGACGAGCAGCTATGGAGCTTGACGAGAGCCCTTGCGGCAGTATTCATGCGGTACGGCATCAAACAAGTATATCAACCCATCCACCCATCAATCTTCTCGCTACGTACTGTACTGTATGTACTGTATGTACTGTATGCAGTATGCACATATGAAGGAGCTCAGCACGGAGAGCGGCCAAACGCCAGCCTCGGGTCGGTCATGACGGAGTGCGTGGAATTCCGTGCCGAGATCACATCCGCTGAGTCACTATGAGAGAGATGCATGCACAACTACCAAAAGTAAGTAAATGAATGGTTACTGGTTACTACGCGTAGGCAGTAGCCAACTTGACTTTCCTTTGGAGGACTCAAGCAGATAAGCTATGCGATGCTTATTTAAGTCATAGAAATCTCACTGCATACGCTACTTTCGAAATTAAGAGGGGCTCATTACACTCTTCTTCCTACCTACAGTACGTACTATGTGCATTTGCGGATTGCCGACTCGACATACGGTTGGCCCGTGCGGCAGCAAATATATTTTGCTCAGCCCACCTCATTCGGTCAAATGGCCTGCAAGAAGGACTGTGAGACTGGCACCTTACTCGTTGATTAAGTTACTTGTTACACACATGTCCAGGCGGTTCATCGCGAATCCACTTATCCTAAAGCCCCGTCTTCACCCTGAAAGTTTGGGTTGTCTTGTGTTCTAGGTCGAGTCCTCCGGTTTCTTCTACTCCAGCCAGGCTGATTAATGATTCTCGGAAGCTTCCAGCGGTTCGGGAACTGGATTAGTCAGGAAAGTGGGAGACACGACCCAAAGCGGTAAACTCCGACCCCATCGCGGAATCGGTGCACCACTGCCCTGCACTCGGGATGGAGCCCCTGTCGGACATATCATCGGGCCTTTCTTCGCCTTTCTGACCTTTTTTTGTGTGGGCAGTTTCCACAACTCCATTAATTATCTCACGGAATTCATTTTCAGTCCTGAAACTAGAGATCAGGAGTAGCCTGGGCCTGATTATGGTACCTGAGTGGCTCAGGGGCACTGACGACACTCAAAATCGATTGACCTCCACATTACCACATACTTACATGTAGAGACCCAGACTCGAAGGTTGAAAGAGATGCCGCTTTTGCGTTCGATGAGCGCGCTTGTGCGTACAGTGCAGTACATCCAAAGCTTTGTGCAAGAGGTTGCCAAGGGCCCAAGGCAGACAATTGAGAAGTCCCGAACAGGTCGTGAGCCGATCATAAGACATAATGAGACTTCTTAACTATCTGCTGTGGATAACAAGTAAAATACTGGAAGTGTTTCCTGTCAATGCCGGTTCCAAACCCCGTTTACGCCCTGGCAGTCAGTTGGCCCGTCTACTTTGGACCAATGCCCCAAAGGTGGTCTGCGTCCATCAATAGGACCCAGGCATGCAACCTTGATGGTTGGAAGGTGGGTGCAGAACCTAATGGAGTAAGGAGCAAGGAAAATGACCCAAGGGGGAAGAGGACAAAATCAGAGTCCAGAAAAAAAAGGAGATGTCAGAGTCCAACAGACTAACAGCATAGTCTAATGCACATGGATCACGGCCTTTGGGATGGATTATGGAGCTGGTGAGATTGAGAAACCTCCGTAATCCGGAAGTAAAAGATTTTCAAAACCAGGTTTTTGCAAGTATGTACACCGTACAATCGCCGGTAATGAGTGTAGTAGATTATGTATGTATAGATGTATGGGTAACATACAGTACAAACAGCTTCAGTGCTCACCAGCGGGTTGTGGATTGAGCTTTCTTTTTTTCTCTTCTGGGTCTGTCTGTCTGTGACAGTTTCGGGATCGGAGGGACGAAACACACAGGCTGGAAGATGGATGAAGCCGTCAAGCCAAGATCTCTCCCAGGAGTTCGCTTGGGCTGGGCTCCATCAAGAACCAAACTGTGTGCAGGTGTTAGCGGCTCCGTCGCATTGCTGCTGGTGGGGACTGGACCCTCTCTTTCTTGCTTTTCTCATCATGATTCAACGCTGCACCCACCAGTAGTACAGTCAGTACTCCTCCGTAGCTGGCGTGAGCCCCTATCTGCATCAGAACAGCAGCATCTAGATGCAACCTTCGGCTTGGCGTAGAATTAGCTAGTCTGCACCTAATGACTCGGTCATTGGTAACTACCCCGTCGAGAAAGAACGAATCAATGCTGAGTGCTGCGCTGTGCTGGGTTGAATACATTCGGAGAGAAGCCACGGAGATAAGAGCGGGCTGACATCTAATAATAATAATGACGTCCTCCACCGCCGGTTTTAGTCAGGGCGGTGTCTCAACGTCATCCGTCCAATTTCTCTACTACTGCCCGCCTCAGGCCCAAGCTCGGTCACTTCTCGGTACCTAGTTGGTTCACCTCACAATAATAAGATATATTCGGGCGCTTTATAGGGCACGAAATGGTAATGAGTGCAATAAATCCAGTACCCGGAACTCAAAACACCAGCGCAGAGAAAAGTAAAATTTTGACTCGGACAAAAATGCAGGTGGGGAGTCAGTCCAAGAAGCCCAGCCACTGTTTTCGAAACGCCAACGCCAGCTATCACCCAAAACACCCAAGACACCATCATCACCACAAACCCATGCCAACACCCAATCCAATCCAAATCCCTAGACTCAGAAACAATATCCGCAAAAGTCCGAACAAGAAGGAAAGAAGGATGAATAAACCCCATGAAATTTAATCCAACGGATAGCAGTGAACTACTTCCCATGGATGAGGTGTATGAGACCAGCCGCTTGAAAGAAGAGAAAGTCACACTGTACAGTCTGCCAATCATCCTCTGCCGCGATTAAGAACGCATGTAGTCGTCGAGAAGAAAAAGAATGGAAGTAGCACCAGGCGAGACAGTTGGAAGGACAGGTCATACATGTATACTGTACAGGCGTCACGTCACGATGGTGAAACTCCATCTCGCGCCAACAAATAGTAACTTTGGCAAGATTGCGGCATATTCAAGGAACTCATTAGGTAGACGCGATCTCAGGCGGGTTGGCATTTAGAAATTGATTGATGTCTTCGTAATCGCTTTTCGTGTCCATATACGATGAGGTCAACATGCAACTCATGGGAATCTGACGGTTGAACATGGGCGAGGAAACCTGATCATCGAAGGACAGGTTCGTGTAGTCCGAGGCACCTATCAGATCGATATCCTCAAAAGAGCTGAAGTTGTTGCTTGGCCATTGTTGCGGAGTCTGAAGCGCCAAGGGGTTGACCACGCCTTGCATAGACATGGAAGCTGCGAACGCCGGGTTCGATGGGGCCATCTGCGGTTCGGTCTTGATCGTGGGTCCCTGTGCCCGAGATGCGCTGAAGGTCGTCGGGGTGGGTGGCATTTGATGCGCAAAGGGATCCGAAAATCGAGTGGGAACAGTGGGTGATTGTGCGCTATCGGAGCTTCCATCTGACGAATCTTGGCGTTGCATGTGTCCGGCATTTTGCGTCCACAGCTCTTGCTGCATGACCTCCGTGTTCTCTTCGAAGCGCTCGCCTTTTGTCTGATCCAGAGCCCCCAGTCGAGTGAGTAAGTCGTGCGTCAGCGGATGGCCGTTTGGTTCGCATTGCAACGGTTCGCCGGGCCAGCCTTCGCCTTCTGTGGCTCGTCGGTACAGCTCCTGAAGTCCATGAACAAGCCATGCTTGTTGCTGTTCGAGCATCTCAACATATCTGTCGGGCGAAGAGTCAGTCATTGGTTCGAACACGACTAAATCCATAGTAAAAGCTCAATGCCAAGGAACGCGCTCACCCCTTGGGGTACACTTTATCGTGGGCCTTCTTCCGCTCGCCAAATACACAGATGGCATTGTCCGTCCTACACCGACCACATGGGTTGGCTCCGTCACACTGCACCGGGTCAGTGCATCAGGCCGAAGCTGATGCGTCGAGCCATGGCTTTAGCTTACCTTGGATTTCTTCAGTCTACACCGATCGCAGGCCTTGCAAACCCTCTTGCGGACGTTGCCGTCCGAATGTGAGTGGTCTGAAGTCGGTGACGATTGGCGCGCTGTCATTGTGTGTGTATGTGTATATAGATATATATGGGAGTGGTGTATGTATGTATAAATGTATGTATGTATATGGTGATTATAAGTTATTCGGCGGGGCTTGTCGAATGGCAAAGCGAAGGAAGGAGAGAAAGGTGGAGGAGGTAGGTAAAGATAGAAGAAAGAGGGGGAGAAGCAGAAGAGAGACGATGATGATAGCGGCGCCAGGGACCGGAGGTGGGGTCTTGTAGTCAAGTAAGTAGTATGTCGTTTGCTTTATCTTCTCCTCCTGTGAGAAACTGCTGCAGCGGAATGTTGTAATGATCCAAGTATCGACGGGGGAGTTGGTTAAGGTTGATCGATGATACAACGATCTTGGGGCAGGAAAGGTAAAACCGATGGAATCACTTCTATCTCAAGCTTCTCGGCCAATGTAAGGCACATGAGTCGATGGAACGCCGAGTTAATAAGTTGGATCGATCCAGAAGACTGGGTAGGGTTGCAATGATCCAGAGTCGGGAGAGTTCAGGTTGATCGGGATAGGGTTAGCTGGTATATAGTTGGTAGTATAGGATACTACCAGTATTCGAAGGAGAGAATTCGCGCGGAAGAGAATGAGTTCGGGATTAAAAGTCAAGAGAACTAGAGGTAGAAGGGACTTTAAGAGCTCTTTTAGAATTTAAGAGTAAGAGAAGAGAGGGGGGGGGGATGGGAGGGCAGTTATGGAAGAATTATCATTATTATATTGATTTGAAATGGTCTAGTCGCATCTCAGTAATCAAGAAAGTCGAAGGATGTTCCAGCACGGGTCATCCGTAGTTTACAGTTTCAAATTTACAGGAAGCGGCCGTAAAGACCGAACCTGATGAGCCCAAAACCGCGCCCATCAATTCACTCCTTGGTGGAGATTTCCGCATCAATACAGTGAGTGATTACAACTTACATTTTGTCCAGATTGAATAACCTTGCTGAATATTACCACAGAATCAGTACCTTCACGAGATAGATTGGGCTGATGGGAGCTAATTAGGCTAACATTATCTTAACCTCCCTTCCCAATGCTGCCGAATATTTGGGTCATTCGATCTAGCTGCACCTCTGAGGAGGAGTGTCGCTGAACTGTAAGGCCGAGTATCCGTGGGATGTAAATGCAATGAATCATGCATTCATACAATCATACGTTGATACAGTCATACATACCTATACGATTGATACGTCACTCGTGGGTATTCTTACCTGATACGAATCACGGATAACGGAACGGGAGCTGAGCAAGAGAAAACCCGCGGCAGAGAGGCTGATTACCTGAATCGGTGTGTCGCGGGCCTAGCCTCGGACCCCGGGGTTGAAAAATCCCTTTTGGGGGGGGGGGGGGGAGTGGGTGAGGAAAGTTCAGGTCAGTTGAGGTTGAGTAGTAAGTTACTTCATCCCGAATCCAGTACTGTACATGATCACTACACTACGCTACACTGGTTCCATCTTCCGTCCCGCCGGAAGGTCTCATCGTCCACTGCAAATGAAGTCAATCGATACTGTTCTGGTGGTTCAAATGGAAAATCATTGATTGCACTGGAAGCCGTATATCCGATGGTTGTACTATGCGGATCCGGAAATAGGTGACAGTAGCAAATGGGTGTTTAGTGTCTAGCATAGATGTAGAAGTTTTCTCTAGGAAAGTTCTCGGCGTGATTGAGGCCAGGCCCACAAGTAGGGCAATGGGAAAATAATCTTGCTTGTCTATGAACGTGGGTGGCTGTCCCCATGACAGTAACTCGAGGCAATCGACAGGAATCATTATTATTACCACAAAGAGATGAATGAATAAGAATGACATCTCGCTCTTGCATAAGCTCGGCATTACGGCACAACAACCGTTCTTAGTGCAAAGCCCACCTGGGCAGTTCTCGGCAAAGTCATGCCGAACAAGAGCAAGAAACCGGAAGCTTCGACAATACTGGCTGGCTGCCAAGATCGGCGATCTGAAATCACTCATCCATCCATTCAATAATCGAATAATCATTTTCACTAACAAGTAAGAAAAATAACTGCATATTGTACACTGTACACTGCATACCGTACACTGTACCTACAAGGCTCGGTTGAAGTGTCGCCCTGATTAACTACCTTATCCTCCGGAAAAGCTTAACCCAGCAGCCTGCTTTCTGTTCCAATCGGCATAGTTAGTACTCATGTGTGAGTAAACTACCACATATTCCAGCCACCAGCTACAGTACTACCAAGTTACCGGGAGAAGAGGAACAAGAACAGTATCGAATCTATCGAATTTATCGATAAGCTTTGATGATTTCAGACTGTCGTTTGCTGATCGGCGTTTTGTTCTGCCATTTCCTTTCCAGTCCGATCGGTTCGCTTTCTTTCTCCGAGGAGAGGGGGAGGGGAAGGAGAGAAAATGCTTGAGCTCCTCCCCCAGCTTCCACCCATGAAATGAATGAGCCCATCCAGTCAATGACGTTAGCATGCCTCAGGTGAGTCGATATCAGGTCACCCGCGCTGGATTGACCCTGTCACTCGCGCCCCAATTGGCTTTCCACCCCCTCAGAGTATCCATATCTTGGTACAATCAAGGTTGCTTGCTGTTCGCAGCTGTGTGAAGAAAGCAAAGGAAAATGAACACTCGAAAAATGCGAATCTGAGATAGTGTCGGAAATTGACTTTCGTGGTTACGCCACTATTGATGCCTCGTTGATTGTAGACTATAGTCGTAGGACTATGTACTGTACTCAGCAATAATACTATAGATTAACTTTTCCCAGCCTGGCAATCATCCAAGGACCTTGGTCAAACTCCTCCCTTTCTCCCTGCCCCACCTCATCTTTTCTACCTTTATGCTTCTCCTCGATTCTTCCCGCGTCTTGTTGATCATCTTCCCTAGTTTCACCCGGTCCACGCCTCAAGCTCTCTAGAATGGGCAAGTTCAACATGGTTCGGGTTTATTCAGTTGCGATCTTCCATTGATCATTTCCCCGGGGGTTCCGCACCACGAGGGATCGACAGACCAGGGAACGGGTGATGGCTCGAATCGCCGACGAAATACTCGGTACTATGTATAAAAATTAAATGTACCGTACCCTCAACACACGCAAGGTCTCCTCTGCCTACAGTCACGCAATGAGAATTATAAATTGACCGGGTTTTACCTGCGAGGTCTAGAACCGGCCCCATGCAGCGTGGGTGCTTCAAACCATAGCGTCATCCCGCATTCCTTTTCCGACGGGTCCCACTCACTCACTTCCCCTCCATGGAAGGAGAGAGACGGGCGTGTTCTACGATGAAGAGACCTTAGGGAAGCGAACATGTCCGTACGGGATGCCGTACCTCAGCCGGATAAGCGTATGCACAAGCACTGGCTGCTCTGGCTGATATGTCATCACAGGCCGGTGATAAGATATGACTTGTGTTCGGTTTCACAATCTGGACTCGCCCATGACCTCATGCTGCCAGGGTGTTTGCCAATCCACCGCAGTCATGCTGCCACAATTATTCGATGACCCGCATGTTGTTCATCTCATCATGAACTAAGAAGAAACCTTATTATCTGAAATCAGTGACGGTGGGAGAAGGTCCTCGACGGGCTGGAACAATTCGTATTCTTTAATCAACAGCTTTTGTGGTATCAACGTGTGAGACAGGAGGGTATATGAACATAAGACACGCATCAGAACGCAAACTGGGAATGCAGACCCCGGGACCCGCACAGCCCGGCCAGACCAGAATCAAAAGCACCACACTCGTCGCCAGGTTTTGGCCGCCGGACGATTTTGCTGCTTCTCTCGATGTGATGGCGTGGGAGGATCGGACTTGCCATAACGATACCTATCAGCCTGTTGTTGATGGACTCGTTTCCTTTCCCGGAGCCAACCAAAGCCTCGCTGCCGGGGTGCTACGTGCTTAAAGGGCAGTTCCACGGAGGGCGAGTGGACGATCGTGCTAGCCGTGGAGTTCAATTCTGGAACCCAGCCGCTGCCATGAGCCGGCTCTGGGATCAAGGCCGTCGGCTGATAAAAGGCCTGGCGCGCCTCGACCACTCGGCGGATTAATACTGATGAGATGTTAGCATTTGGACGTCTAGATCGAGTGGAACGAGTGCTTGCAGGAAAATGTCTCCTCGATATTGACCATCTCACGAGCGCTGGTCTCCATAAAGCCGCACCCATGCCTGCGGGCATACTCCAAGCCCTGAGGAGCCCCGATCACTCGACCCTCTTTCAAATCGCACTTATTACCAGCTACGATCTTGACGGGCGGCGGCAAGCCCACCCGAAGGCCCGCCGCACTGTCTCCCAGTTCTTGTCGCAGGCGGTGATTCTGTTCGGCTCGCTGTTCAGTCTCGATCTCAATCATATCCATGAAGTAATCGAGGGCGTGCAAGCTGTGTTGATTGGTAATATCATAGACCAGCAAGAAAGCATCTGATTTCAGGTTGGAAGCCGTCCATAGTCCGCGGTATTCCTCCTGGCCCGCCGTATCGGTGATAGACAAGAAGTAGGGCACTCCATCCACGACGCGCGTGACGGAATAGGAATCCTCTGCAGTTGCCCTTGCATGTTAGTGACCGCTCAAGTGATTGTCGGAAATGGTGCGGTGGGGGAGAGAGCGTTACCGATTGTAGGATCGTACCTGGCGCCGCGCAGCGGATTAGTTTCATATTGCGCAAGCCGACGACCGGACACTTACTCATGAGTCCACTGGCCGCGCACCAGTCTGAGAGTGATTGAAGACTTGCCTACAGTGCGACCAGCCCCGATTAGTGATGCGAACGCGCATTGAATTGTATTGTGTTTATGGGGAGAACCATGCGCATGTGAAACGGGGCAGCGCAAGAGCTACCTCCGCATTTTATCGCCCCATCCACCTCTGCATAGTCTGTGATTCGATGGCACGTACCGCATCCACCATCTCCACAGATCGTGATGGAGATTTTCTCCGGAGAGTCCGGCATTGGTATCACTAGAAGAGAAATCGGGCGGTGGGGGGAGGGGGGAGGG